TCCTCTATTATGCTCCATTAAAGACTATACCTTCAGTGAGACCAATCCCTTAGTAATTGCACGAGTATGCATATGATTAATTTTGATTGCAGATGAGTGTAAGATGTTGTTTGGCATTGCACATAATGTATTTATCTCACCCATATGGGCATAAGAATTTGTTTGTTTACACAGACAAGGTATTTTTAATATGCAAGCTTTCTATAGTTCCCCTACTGTACAAAACTTATACACTTTCCCCTATCCAACCATTCATTCTGAATGGATGGTTGAGATAACCCCAATCACAATGCCACACATCTTTTATATTTAATTTGTTTTCTACAAACAATTTTGACACCAAATTTTTGGTGTCCACTCCTCTCTTAAACTCACACATGGAAAAAAACATTAAAAAAAACATCCAATAAAATAAAATGATCAAAATGCCATTAAAAGTTGCAGGGTATTTTGGTTATTACATTTTATCCAAAGTATTTTTAAAATATTTATTTGAGGCACATAGCCAAATATATATTTATATAATTTATAAAATAAAATTAAAATAAAATACTTTGAGACGTCATATCTAAATCAAACGGTCAATGGCTTACTTGATCTAAATGGACAACTAGATGAGGGGGAAGCATATATATGCAGGGGAAGTATAACAACATTTCCCATTTATGACCAGTAACCAACTAGTTTCGGTTGCAGGTAATGCACTTTTATACTTACTACAATTAGAATTAACAGATTTGAGTGCAATGGTTCACTTTTAAAACTTGGAGAGTGACAAAAATGAACAAGTGAGATTGTGGGCAACCAATACATATGCAACTAACTACTGTTAAGAATCAGTAGATGTGATTCTACATGATAAGACACTCTTTTACTCTTTTTTCTCCTGAGAGCAAGAACTATATGGAACTCATTGCTTTTGTTCATTTGTATAAGTGAAGTCATATTTTGAGATCTTGTTTCTTTGTACTTTAAGGACAAATTTGCCATGAAAACTGTATAAGTGAAGTCATATTTTGAGATCTTGTTTCTTTGTACTTTAAGGGACAAATTTGCCATGAAAACTGATACTCGCACTGATTCTTATATGCGAAGAGCGAATATTATTTTAAGAAAACATATTGCATAAACATGGAGACTATCTCAATTAGTTGAAAAATAATTTGACGATAATAATATGATCTTACATGAGCATGGAAAAAAGAAGATCTTTCTCTGTGTTGTTCATTGTTTCTAAACAATATTGCCACATAAATTGGCAAATTTTTCTATATGCATCTCCCACTTCTATCCTATTTGCGGTAAAAATTCATCTTCACTATCTTGGCTCTGGTTAAGATTTGACCCAAAATTGTTATATTTTTAGCACATTTTTCAGATCAATAATTTGAATTATTTGTACCTACACTATTTATGGAACTTCAAATTCGACAATCAAATATCAAAATAAATTTGTAAACATTACAAGAATTTCAGCATTCCAACAACATTTCCAGTGGAATTTTGATGTGTTGACTTTACCAAATATTGTAAAGTTGAGGCCCACGAGACACTCCTCCCTTCTCAGTACGATCACCAGGACTTGCCCGATTCACATTCTCACTCCTGTCTCCATCATTATTTGACATAGTCAACAAATCTCGTGCAAAATCTAATAGGCAAGGGTAATTGTGACCTCATTATACTAAAAGTATATATAAATGCTTATGTTAGGGTGCTCACACTATATGAAGTAATTTACCACTGTATTCAACGAAATTCGGATACATATATACCCTCTTTTGTATCTATAATTTTTTTTTAGTAAGGGCATTTTTTATAATTAGAACATTTACATGGGGTATCATATCACCCACATGGAGCATTAAATGCCACTAGTGTGCTTCATGTGGGTGATGTCATGCCCTATGTAGACGACATCACACCCCTCTTAGCGACCAAAAATACTCTTATTAAAAAGTATTTTATGTACAAAACAATGATATAGAAGTGCTCAAAAATATTTAGTACAATGATAAATTACTCCATAGTGTGAGCACCCTAACATAACACATATATAAATAAATAAAAGTGAACAGTGATTTCAACTGCAACAGCTCTACGCCGTTACAGTTTTGCTCCTGTGATTTTCTCTTGAAAATCGACCGCAACGGACATAGTATGAACGGTGCAATTGATTTTTCCACGTCGTCCAAAAGCACTATTCATTTTTACTCATAGGCGTTGCATAATGACTTCCTATATATATATATATATATATATATATATATAATGAGATCATTTACTTTTGATATAATGTAAATCACATTTCTAGAAAATCATATTTACGGCATTTATGCCACCTCAAAATTTGCTTGGAAATATAGTTCCGGTCTCAAAAACCTTATGATGGGTTGAAAATCTATTTTCATCCATAGTTATGGAATTCAAATTTCTAAAAATTGTATATATTTAGCACATCTAAAATACTTGAAATTAAAAATACTGTCCCTCGAATTTTGAGTATCCTACTTTCATGTGACTCACAAAGTTCAACAAGCAATTAATATTTAACAAGATAACTTGTTACAAAATACACTTTTTTTTTTATGGGAATCTTTTTTTACTCATGATTTATACATTTGGAAGTCGAGATGATCAGTTGGAGAGTTTTCCAACATCAAAGTACTTCATTTCATCAAGATTTTTGAAGTGCGCCTTATTTGAATGATACAAAGTTCACACCAAGCTTAAACTTAAAAATAATTTTTGTGATACATCCAAGCTATTAAATTTCAAACCTGATAGTTGTAAGTAATCGTGATAACCTTGTATCAAAGGTAAATCGGCTCATTGTATACAATCCCTTATATAAATAAGAAAAATATATGATGAGATCATTTACCTTTGGTACAAGGTGGTCACAATTAATCTTGACCATTGGATGTGAAATTGGGTGGTTGCATTTATTTTATTGACCAAACTCAAAGTTCAAAAACATTTTTCCTGAACTTTGTGATACACCCAAACTATCATATTTCACATCGGTTGATTGTAAATAATTGTGACCTCCCTATACCAAAAATAAATGGTTATACTATCCCCTATAAATATACACTTCAAATGCATAGTAGGTACAAATTGTGTATTATCACTCAATCAGTCCAACTATTGCAAATTTGTACCCTTGTATCTATATGCAGCTATGTGCCTTGGAGCGGTTCTTTACTTCTCATCGAAAAACACTCGTCTTTCACCGACCCACAAGAAATGTGAACCAAAATTTAATGATTTTGATTACTTTGAATTTCCAGCTAAACCAACTTTACTTCCCTCCTCGTAAGTTTAAATTTAAAACTTTTGAATAGCCCTCTTTTGCTAGACAAATGCTCATGTCATCATTCAATTTTCCCTCTTTCTTATTCCTTTATCGTATGCAGCTGCATTTTAAATCTCCTCAGCGAATTTTGAAGAATGTAGATCCAGAAATACACGAATAGATAATCTCTGCCTCGATGTTCATGGATTTGAAAAAAGAAAGAAAATTTTTTTTTTTTTTTGGGCCGTTTAGTGGTAGGAATTGAAGTTGAGACGTACCAGTACTTGACATCAATTGCAAACCTCTCAAGAGTCAGCCTAAGTCTGATTTCTAAATCTATATCATTTTTAGATTTTAAAATTGAACGAACCACGAGTAAAAGTCGATTTACTTGCCATCACAAAAAAATTTGATACAAAAAAGGTGTGATGTTTATGGCAAGGTTTTGACATACTGTCTTGCTTTACTTTGTCAATAGCCTCACCAAAGCCTAATCCATTAGCTAAATCCCCACTTTAAAATCCACTCAGAAGTTATTAACATGTTGACTCCCTCGATCCAAATGCAAATGTACATAATTGGGGCTCTAGATGGGCTCCAATCGACCTGGACCTAGACCAGTCCCAAATTGGGGCGAGACTTAAAATCGGATCGAGTCTTAAGTCACTGGACCCAAACCCACCAGATGGAGTCTGGTTCAATCCCCTATTATGCTCTATTCAAGGCATATCGACGCCTTCATATAAGTTGATAATATTCCAGATTCATAAAATTTTTTGACAAAGTTTAACGCTTCGATGCCTTCATATAAGCTGATAATATTCCAGATTCATAAAATTTTTTGACAAAGTTTGCCGATGCCTTCATATAAGCTGATAATATTCCAGATTCATAAAATTTTTTGACAAAGTTTAACGCTTCCTGCCTATCTACCACACTCACCTCCTTTGTTCGAGTTTGAGACAAGTTAAAAAGAAATATAAGGTCCACACATGACCACCGGGCTCGATTTAAACCATCCTAATAAGGTCTAGGTTGGACAAGACACGGAGACAGGTCAAAAGAAAGTCTTAAATCCTCACACTTCCTAGACCATCAGGCCAGATGTGACCCATCGAGGATGCACAAGACACCGAACTAACGTAAGTGGGTCTCGGTTAAGAGGACATAGACCCAACCTGAGGGCTCCAATAATCAGAACAAGACAGATTGGGTTCAACTGACCACTTGCCACCCCTATATATTACATGACCATTAAAAGCTCTGGCCACATGTGTCATCACCGTCCAATCAGTTGATAGACAATGGAGCGAGAGGGTGGGACGATTGCCCTTCTATAATGCAACGGATCATGGTTAAATTCACTGAAATTTCGGCCCCACTTACGAAACGATGTCGGTTTCGGCCTTCTTCCATTTCCAATAATTAATGCCCTACACGTGCGGTGCACGACACAGCCCATTAGCTTTTATGACGTGCTAGTCTTAACGGTCTAGATCACTCCTGATTCATCTGACGGTCAGGATAACTGATGGACCCTCAACTGTAGATCTTAGCCCTCCGTTGCTTCCACATTAATAGCCGTCGATTTCACGGCGGTTTTTTGGGGGAAATGCCCATTATTAGCCACGACCAACTAAGACGATCGGCGATGTAAAATAAAACGCGCCGATTCATAGAACAATATAAGCGGACCCGAGGCCGAGTTGTAAGACGAGTGAAGAACCCAAAACGCATGAAAAAAGTCCTCACTCTCTGCACAGAAGACAGTTTTTCTCTCTCTAAAAGGGAAAGATGAAAGCTTTCAATTCTCTCTCTAGGAAAAGTGAGTAAAGAATGTTGCAGCAAAGAACCGGATTGGAGATTGGAGTTTGTGTTCCCCAAAAACCCATTTGATCTGAGTGAAAAAACAGTGTTTTCGCTCTCTATATTCTCTCTCTCTAAAAATAGTGTACTGTCTCCAAAAATAGCAAAAATGGCGATATATAATCTCTCTCTTTCTGGGGTTTAGTTTGTGGGTAGAACCAGTGGGTCTTCTCACTGTGGGTTTGTTTCTCTCTCTACAAAAAGAGAGCATAATAGAACCGTGGGTCTTCTTACTGTGCGTTTGTTTCGCTCTCTACAAAGAAGCAGAAGAAATGCCAAGGCATAATCGAAACTTAGAGGGTCTGATACATGTAAGGGGAAAGGTTAGGAAGAGAGGGTGCTCTTCTTCTTCTTCCTCTTCCTCTATTCTGCAAAATAACAGGTTTAAAAGAGCCATTTTGGTGGGGAGAAGAGGGGGATCGAGCACGCCTGTGCCCACATGGAAGATGAGCTCACCTTCTTCGATGGCCGAATCCCCCATTTATCAGTCTCTCTCTCAAAGTGGGGCGAAGGCCAAACAGAGTGGAAATGGCAACGGTGGCACTATCTCGGCGAGGAAGCTCGCTGCTACTCTGTGGGAGATGAACGAGGTTCCTTGTGGTCAGCAACAGAGAAAGAAAGAGAAAGAAGAGAGAGAAGAGGAGGAAGATTGGAAAGATAAGAGGGCGAGGAGGAGGTCTATGCAGTCGAGTTCCCTGCCTCGGAGGCTCTCGGATCCATCGCATAGTCCAGGGTCGGAGGTGGCTCTCTTTCTCTCTCTTTTTCTTTTCATCTCTCTCTCTTACACACAGAGAGAAAGGCGATGGCTTTTACTTTGGGTGTTGGATTGATGTTTTACTTCGGCATTCAGTTTCCTTCTTTGTTTTTTTGGGTTTTACTTCGGCATTATTACAGTATTTTTTGTTCTTGTAAGTGACGTTAATTCTATTTTTATGACTACTATTACTGATTTTTTTCTCTAAATATTATGTTTAATGCATCTGTTAATTGGAAATGGTATGTTTCTTTCTATCTTGTTGCCCTTTTGAAATTATGGGTCATTTTTTGTTGTCACTTTAATGAGAATTTATATAAGATTTATGCTTTGTTTTCTATTATGATTGTTTTGGGTGGTTCTTCTTTTTTTTCAGTTCAGTTTAGAATCTGCTGAAAATTTATGTTCTCCCCTTTTTTCTTTATTTTCATTTGCATTGTATTTCATGTTTTTTTCTGGTCCATTCAATTGAATATATGCTCTGAAAAAATATTCTTTCCTCCTCCTCTTGTTTAATTTCACTGTTTTTTTTTTTTGTTTTTAATGTGATTTTGCTCCATTGATGTAATAACTTGCTTGAGATTATGGTTGCTTTTTCTTAAAATTCAGATGGGAGATAGATCTGGTACTGGTAGTTTGAGAAGAAGACTGGCAGCAATCTCTCAGAGATATAATAAATATGGAGAGAGAAACAGTGTAGCTATGGATTCCCGTAGCAGTACAAGCTTAATGGAGGTAATCTGAATTCTACCTTTTGATTTTAATTTTTTTCCTTTATTAATTTTTGCTTAAGAATCAATTAAGTTTTTTCTTTAGAAAGGATGGATTAATTCATTAGAATTGTATATAATTTATCTTTCTTAATGTTCATTTTCTTTCCTCTGTATGGTATATGACTTTATGTGAATTTGATTTATAAAACTCACACGTTAAATGCTTAATGCTTTTCGCGAAAGAGATCAGTAAAGACTGAAGAGAGCCTTGACTTGAATTCGGGATCTCAATTTGCTGAACTTGAGATACCTTTAACCGAGGTTAGGTTCAATTCTCAAGATTTTAAAGGAAAAAGTTTCTCGTAGTAATTATCGATTTCAACATTATGTAAAATCAACAACTTTCCCTTGCAGCTGGGTTGTGCTGATTCCTTTGGTCATTTCGTCTTTTGAAAAATTAAAGTTTCAAGCTCTCGTTCTCTTTAAAGTGAGAGCTTAATGAGCAATTTGGCCTTTGAAACTGGCAAAGAAACCCAAGCTTATGCTTTTTCTCAGACCAAGACATGCTTTTGAATTCACCTAGAAATTCTTCTATGTAGGACTTGGTTTGTTTTTCAGAAATTATCACCAATCTTAGGGAAGTGATCTCTTTAATGGAGTTACCTTCTCCCTCTATCTTACTCCCCACGACTTTCAAAAGAAAGAAAACTATTTTTTGACAAATATTCTTATGGAAATGCAGATCGAGACCCGCTCTAGAGGCCTCACTCCCTCTGGTTCAATGGTGGGAATGAACAGTCGTTTCAAAGAGTTGGGTCATGGCCTAACCACCTCCAAAGAGCTCCTAAAGATACTCAATCGAATATGGGGCATGGAAGAGCAACACTCTTCTCACATAGCCCTTGTCTCTGCCCTTCGTGCTGAGCTTGACAGGGCCAAGTCTCAACTTGATCAGCTAATGCAAGATCATCGATCGGATCGCCATGAAATAGATTACTTAATGAAGCGTTTTGCTGACGAAAAAGCAATGTGGAAGAGCAGGGAGCAAGAGAGAATCAGAGCAGCTGTTCAAGCACTAACAGAAGAGCTTGACGCCGAGAAGAGATTGAGGAGGAGAGCTGAGAGCCTGAATAAGAAGCTCTCTAGAGAGATAAACAGCATGAGGACCTCTCTTGTGGAAACTGAGAAAGAGCTAGAGAGAGAAAGGAAGGCTAGAGAGTTGATGGAAGAGGTGTGTGATGAATTGGCGAGGGGCATCGGGGAAGACAAGGCAGAGGTGGAGGAACTCAAGAGGGAATCGGCAAAGGTGAGGGAGGAAGTAGAGAGAGAACGAGAGATGCTTCAATTGGCTGATGTTTGGCGTGAAGAGAGGGTTCAGATGAAGCTTGCAGATGCCAGGTATCAACTCGAAGAGAAGAACGCTGTTCTTGACAAGCTTAGGAATGAGCTCGAAGCCTTTCTGAGAGCCAAAAGGACTAAAGGTACAGCCACAGAGGCTGCCCCTGCAAATAGCATGGGTGAGGTTGAGGAGGAAAGGCAGCAAAACCAAGAGAGAAAAGTTGGGGTTAGAGCCCAAGGTGACCAAAAAGAAGAGGAGGGTGTGGATGAGGAAGAAGATGATTCAGCCGAGAGTGACATGCACTCTATCGAATTGAACAGGGATGATCACAGTAAAGGCTACAAATGGGGCTACGTGTCAGGGGAGAGAAAGTCATTTGAGGAAGAAGTTAAGGGGAGGAAGTCGTCTGAGAAAGTTCCTTCTCTCGACAGGGTTAACCGATCACTTCATGGGGGCGCTCGGTCCCATGATTTGTCGAAGGTTACTCTAGAGAGAAGCTTATCTGAAGGAATTGAGTGGGATTTTAGCACTGGAACTGCCCCATTGGTCGGTAGAAGAGACCTAGAAAATCTACAAGATGGGTTCAATCAAATCTCTAAACACAAAGATGGGTTTGATGAATTTTATCAAGAAAAAAATGGGTTTGATCCAGGGAGATGCTCTGATACTAGTGAACTCCACGGAGGCCGTGGTCCTACACAATCCGAGATCAACGGAGTGAGGAGAGATAATGACAGTGAACTACAGAAGCTCAAATCTTTGAAGGGCCGTAGTAGTTATGGGATGGCTGGTACTAGGGTGTCTTCTGCTCAAGGATTTGCAAGCCCAACAAGGCAATGGAGCCAAAGATGGCCTTCACAAGAATCAGTTGCTGCATCTGGTGAAAGATCAAAGGCAACTGATATGGCAAAAGGGATGAGAGAGAGTAGTCTGAAGTCTAGACTATTGGAAGCCAAAGTAGAGGGTCAGAGTTCAAGACTCAAGTGATGAGAGAGAGTCCTTATTTTTACTGTGAGAATTGCTCCTATTTCCTTGTTTGTTACTCTCTGTTAAGCATCTGGCATCTGGTTGTACAAACCCTTATATATAAATGTTAGAAATAATAATAGTGAAGGTATCACATTTTGTCTTGTAGAATGCTCATGTGTTAGTTGCAGTATCCCTTTGGTTTCTTCCTCCGTTACATAACCATGGACTCAGTTGAACTAAGGTGCACCTCTAAGATCCTTCAAGAAAAGGTTGTTTCATGATGGAAAAATATCGACATCGAGATGTATGGGAATGGATATGGAGAAGAAAAACAGATTTCAACGTCCTAAAAATGGTACATCTTGCAAAACATTATTTTATTTTCATGTGTTTACAAATCTACTTGATTTTTACTATGTTTAGAGTTTAAATTTTTATAACTAGGGAAAAAATAGATCCTTGCACTATCCTTATGATTCTTGACACCGAAATTGCATTTCATTATGAAGTTCAGAGGTGCATATGAATGAGATTCATCAATCCCTCTCTCTATCAACTTAGTTGTTGGTAGTTGTTGGTGTATGACTATATACAACAGAGGTTCAATAATGGGTGTGGTTTGTACAGCTGAGGCTCTAAATAATCAAAATAGGGAGCATTTTTAAATAGTGTTGAAATATGTTGTTTTAATGTTAAAAATCTTTATGATGGCCTGGAAATTTATTTTCCTCTAATAATAAAAATTAAAGTTAAAAAATAGTATAGATTGTACAAATCTATGAATACTTGAAAATATTGAGAATTGACGGTCCAGATACTACATTACAAGATGCACTATTTTCAATACTTATATCTTGAAGTTGAGACGATCGAATTGAGGGTTTTTCAGCATTGAAACAATTTTTTTTTAATAAATTTATTAGATGCACCTTAATTTGATTAAATTTGATTGTTTAGAACCTCGCACTTATATAAACTTTTTCCTTCATTAATCAACCGATATAAAGGATTCATCAATCCACTTCTCTCTCTTATTAGAACAAGGAATCATTGACATCCATGACATAAGAGTTAAGTGGAAGATGGAATAAAAGCCAATTGTTGCAACCATTATCTTATTAACTTTTAGGGGGGGGGGGGAAGAGAGATGGATTTCTCAACGAGTTGATGAATCCACTTGGATAGAAAAACTCCACTTGATTATCCATCAATTCATCCTTCACGTGCACCACTCTCAATGAAACGTAAAGTTGCAAAAAGCTTATTGAAAGCGCAAAAGGAAGGAGGTAAGGTTCCGATAAGAAGCGTCTCTTTCCGGAGGACTCGGCTGCTGATGAAAGTAAATACCAAACAATTTCATAGACCATGCACTCACACACATACCATATATATACACAGTGATAGCTTTGATGATACCTCATAGGGGTGGCAACATGTCGGATCCGGATCCGGATCCGGACTCGACCCGAATTCGCCAGACTTATATCCAAAAATATAGTACAGGACCCGGACCCAAACCCAGGTCCAACCCAAAAATTAAAATAATTATTTATTTTATTATATTTTATATATTGGGACCCCAAAAATATTTCTTGACCCAACCTAAATAGTGTTCGAATCGGAGATTGATCCCATCTATCAGGTTCAATTTTTTGGCCCATACCTGGACCAGATCTAATCTGCCCCTCGGGTCCATTACCACCCCTAATACCTAAACTTCGGGAAAATAGTAATTTCCCGGGGAGAGAGAGAAGTTTGATGTGTGGATGCATGAAAGCGAGAGCAATTTCATCAAAGAGGGAGAGAGATAAGGTCCATCCATGGGTGTGTTACTGGTAAGAGGGAGAGACACTTACTACTTGTGTGCCAGTGTGAGTGTCGGAGGAGGAGAATTTGTATTGGTTGTAGCCTATGTAACATCAACACATGTCTTTATAGTGTTTTGTATGTGTCAACATGTCAATGACACTAACACCTCCCCATCAAGCATTAAATCTAGACATTTGTTTTAGCAGTTTTTAATAAAATCTCACCATAACCATATTTAATGTTACATAAAAACCTTTACTGTTCTTTTTTAAATGGTATACGGATGTATTGCGCCTTAACAAAACCAATCTTGATTTGACATTTCTGAAATTCGATCGGTGTCAGTCCATGAGGCGTTATCCCTGGGCATCATAAATTGTCTTCATCGTCATCACGACCATGAGAGAGACACGTACCTGATGCTTCCTTTAACATAGACATTGGAGAGAGAGAGTCGTTTGTGTGTTGGAGAGAGAAGGCATTTTATCTATTAGTTAGAGAGAGAGAGAGGGAGAGGACAAATGGGAATTGGTTGTAGACCCTCTTGGTTGTCTTCACAACCATCCAAGAGTGAAGAGGCGTGGACCCATTATTTTAGATGCTAGGAAGAATAGCATGTGCTTCATTGGACAAGGAGTGTCTATATGCATCTGCATCATGGGTCCTAATATCATATGCTTCTAATGGACATAAGAGAGAGAGAGCGCTTATTAATTTCATAGAAAGCTTAATGCACATGACTTATATGATTCATCTATCTAATATGACATATAT